TCGGAAGCTTCCTATGGCCTCTAAAAGTAACTTATTCATCTTTGTTCGAAGTATAGCAAAAAACCAAGACGAATAAGTAACTTTTAGAGCCCAAAGGAAACTCCTGAAAAAGCGCAAGCAGACGTGATAGACCTGTGCGCCGGTCAGACGACGGCGGCGGTGCCCCGAAGCAGACGAACTTGTGCGGCGGCGGCGACGGCGGCGTGGAGGTTGAAGCGGCGTTCGCACAACGCTCAGCGTGCGGCGGCGACGCAGCGCGGCGGCGCGCGGGCCTACCACGTGACCAGCGGCGGCTCCCGCGAGCGCCAACTACAAATTCGTATAGCGCCGTAAATATAGCTCTAAAAATTTTGTTTCTTCGTTGTAAAATCGTTTTATGACATCCCTTTTCCATCTAAGCTGTCTAAAAAAAATGTTTTTTTTCCTTTGCATGTGTCCTTTAATGCCGCCCTGCTGACCAGTTTTATGGCCTGGATATGGTGTACTACACCTAATATTTGTACTGATACCAGATTCCTTCATGCCTCCCTGTCTAAGAATGAATATTAGATAATAGATAATATCCAGACCAAAACACACCCTATAGTAAGGTTCCGACGTTTTCAGGCTGACAGTGGCGTCAGGCGTAGCCGGCTCCAGGACAGCAGGGTATATATTTGAAGGTGCACTTACGGAAGCACCTCATACAATGTTCCTGCTAATAGATGTGATACAAATAAAATATTACATCTTTCGTTTCTTGCTCCTGACATACAATAAAGTACCTAAATGGAAATAAAAAAAGAAAATATAGAAAACTTCGCAGTTTTTTTTAAATGAATTTCAAATTTACAACATTTTTGAAGTTTTATTTTAGTCATCCATATACCATATAATGAATAAGTGAAAAGGGAGGTTACCAACACCACTAAAGGAAGTTTGAATCTTTTTTTACATCTAATTTAACACAAATTTTTAAATATATCACACACAGAACACATAATCCTGTTCTAATATAGTCAAAAAGAGAGCTTATTACATGACAATAGAAAATGAGTCTAAGGAGAGTAGTCAAACATGCGACCCTCGGTGGTTAGTAGAAACACTAGTTTCTAACATTCACTTTAAAAAAACACTAACACTTTCTAAAAAAAATGTTTTTTTTTTTTTTTTGCTTTTGCTAGGCGATTTATTATGTTCTCAGAAGACTACCCAATATATCTTAATAAAGTAAAAAAACGCAACTGCTCGAAGCTGAAACCAGACTGGGGAGGAAGGAAAAATATAGAGGAAGATAAAGTTACCAAACGTCCCATAACTGTGCAACTTTTTTTTTTTCAGTCAACGTTTTTTGCAGCATTTAAAAAAAAACCACCAAAAATGGATATAATATTTTCGGCCTATTTTTAGTATTTTGCGTGCCTTTGATGACCCACGACTTATACCCCATTCGCACGGTCAACATAAAGGTACAGTGCCAATCACACTTGTCTATAACGCGCGAGCGTGCGGCTTTCTCCCGGGAGCGCTAGACTGGCGGCATTCGCGGAAACGAAGCTAGTCACGTGGCGCAACATGGAACTGCCCGCTCCAGGGGTGTTCTGCGCACTCTATCAGCTGGCGGCGAACGCGGACGGCTGCTCGCACGCTTTTTACAAACATCATTGCTCGGACAATAAAGGAACTAAAGCATGAATGCGTATCAAAGATGTCGTCATCAAAAAACAAAAATATATCATAAAGCACTTTACTTTTATCGCGAGCTGATAGAGTGGACAGGACACCCCTCGAGCGGGCCGTTCCATGTTGCGTCACGTGACTAGCTTAGTTTCCGCGAATGCCACCAGTCTAGCGCTCTCCGGAGAAAGCCGCACGCTCTCGCGTTATAGACAAGTGTGATTGGCACTGTACCTTTAACATAGGTTTCTTTGCTATCGGCGAAGCAGCCTGTGCTCTTGGGTCTCGAGCACAATCCACGCGCGGAAGATCGTTAATTGATTGGCCGATGAGAGTAAAGGTATTTTAGCTAGCTGGTTACGTCCCAATCCGGCTGAAGCCTCAATTGGGCTATTGCCTCAATTCGGCTAGAAGTTTCAATTAGGCTGGGCGTTCCAGTTCGGAGTAGCCGAACTGAAGATTTAGCCAAACTGGAGCGTCCAGCCGAATTGAAACTTCTAGCCGAACTGAAGCGTCCAGCCAAATTGAAACTTCTAGCCGAATTGAAGCTTCTAGCCGAATTGAGGATGTAGCCGAACTGGAACGCCCAGCCGAATTGAAACTTCTAGCCGAATTGAGGCACTAGCCGATTTGAGGCTTCAGCCAGATTGGGACGACACCCTTTTAGCTAAAGGTACCTTTACGGTCGTGTGAATGGGGTATTAGATTATCTTTGGTAGTTGTCTAAACCATAAAAAACGGCACGTGACCACGGAGAAAAGAGTGAGCGCAACTTAACCCGGACGGTTCTCGAGAATCGGCGGTTTTTGGGCCGAAAGAAAAGGAATTTCGAGCCGCAAACTTCTGAGTAGCTTGGCTCTCACATGTCATGCACAAATAAAAATCTTGACGAGCTTAAATACTCCGTCAGTGTCCCTTTGACGGTCAAGTGAAAAGTAAAAAGCCCATCATTATAATGTGCCCCCCCCCCCCCCCACACACACACACACATATTCAAAAATTAACTACCTAACTAAATTGGCGGTCACCGCGGATGCACCATCTCAAAAAAAGAAGTTAAATCAAGTTATAAGCGTATTTACCCCTTGACATGCATTTTGAGTTCGGAGATACTTGGTCTGTTGGCGCGCGACGGCTCGAAAATGACTTCTATTTTGGGGTAAACGAACGGTCGAAATAGAAGTCATTTTGTGAGTCCCCAACTGGCAGGTTAGTGTCCGTAGGCGTTGTAAAAGGAAATTAGGGGGGGGGGGGGGGGATTAGGGAGCCTTCATGTGCGCTTTGCTAGGGTGATGCCACCCTTTGCAATACCACTCGCCGACAAACCAGCAGCCATTTTGTTCCTCGGCGATAATCCGTGGGGCTTATAACCCTCCCGGAAACAAGCACCTTATCTCAGAAGTTCGGAGCAGCGTTGTGGAACCCACGGAGGGAGGATTAGCATTTTCCCCCTCGGATGGGATTACCGATGGACACAAAGGCCACTTTCCGGCGCACGGGGAAACAATGAGAGAAACAAAATGGCGGTGGAAGAGGGTGTGGGAAAGGGAAACAGGCAGTTGGCATCACTCTATGCGAGGCGCACATGAAGGCACTCTAGGGGGGATGAGAGCCAATAGCCAACTGGCGAGAGGGAGTACGGAAAGGAGCACTTTTCCGCACGCTTCGATTGGCTGCGAAAGGGAGACTGAAAAAAGCGGAGGCCTTTCCCGCTGCCTCCTTCCATAATTATGGCTTTGTTTTCCTTGGGGGGAAAGGGATGGGGGGGGTGGGGGGGGGGGGGGGTGGTGACAGGCGTGTTTTAGCCAGGTAGTTACAGAAAAAAAAATATTTTTGGAAAGTTTCTTTTGATTGTGTACCTTTTATGTGCCTTTAGGTTTAAAAATGCCTCGAGAACATTACACTATAAAAATCGTACCTACCGTCAAATAATGAACATGCGCCCACGTCGCTACGAGCGACCACTCCATTAGAGCCATCATCTGTCATATTTCAGCGTTTATTACGGCAGAACTCTACAGTCAACCGCTCCTCGTCACGTCCCGTGATTCTACATTGGATTCTGAAGGTCTGTTCACACGATGCATCTTTTAGGCGCGCAACAGTTTCGCGACACAAGTTTCGCGAAATTTTCTCGTTCACACGTACCGCTTCACATGCAACAACGATGACGTTTAGACTCGCGAAAATAGTTTGGGTGTTGACCATAAAGTGGCGCTTCAGTTGAAAGCCAACATCATCATCATCATCACCATTAGCCATTCAGCGTCGTGTTCTCCATCTCCCGCCACATTCTAAGAGTCAAAACGCAGGCGAGCTGGTGAACAATCATAATTAAGAAATAAGACCTTAAGACAAAAACAAAAAAAGGGACATACACACCACCGTCTTAAAACCAGCACAGCATACAGCTGTCATTTAGTTCCATTTACTTAATTTACTCTTAAATTGTAATTTACTACTTGTTGAATTGTCATTTACTGCCATTTACTTTATTTACTGTTGAATATGTATAATTTGGATGGAGGTTGACAAAGAAGAAGACTGTTGTGGAAGTAAATGAGAGCTGTACGCTGTGCTGGTTTTGAGACGGTACTGTGTACGCCCCTTTTTGTTTCCTTGTCTCAAGGTTTTATTTCTTAATTATGACTAAAAATAGACGCGAATTATCATCATCACCAATTACGTATTCGTCCATCGCTGGATTTTTTTCCGATATGCTACTCACTTTTCCTTCAGTGGTGCTTGACGTGCTTGCGGAAGCGCCGGCAGTATCCATCGTTCGTGGTTTCGGTTTTTTTCGGATTTGGCTCGGCTACAACACCGGCAGTGAAGTGGTCTTCTCAAACAGCTCGCTCCCCCCTCAAAGGCCACGTGAGAGCGTTTCTGAGCGGCCATTGGCGGCGCTCTCAGATTGATTGACAGGACTCGGCAAAGTTTCAGCAAAAGCTCGCTCCAGAAGCGAGGTGTGCGCGCAACTTTTTTAGATGCGCGCGTCCTTTTCGAACTCGTTCAGACAGCGCAACCATTTCGCGAAACTACGTTTCGCGACACTAGATGCGCGAGAAAAATGCATCGTGTGAACGGTCCTTAAGATTCTACCGCAACCTATTCATGCCCATAGGCCTGGTGTGTGTGCATTTTTTATATATATTTTTATGGTCCTCGAAAGACGGTTTTTCAACATGAGTAAAAGAAGCCCTTGAAGCGCGCGCCTACCGCCTAGGCTGCAGTGACACGGTACTCATTTTCTGTCTCTATTGAGGTCTTCGTGAATTTATTTGTATTAGGTGCGCTTGTTTTTGCAGCAGTTTCGTTTGTTAACTTTCCTGGTTTTGAGTCAACTACGGCTTCCCGAGGAATGGCTGGAAATACGATTGGGTGATTTTAGATAAGATCGACTAAAGAGTGGCTATACTTCGTCTCACCCTACGATGGACTAAAGGCAGAAGCTACGAACCGCCAGATACAATCACGAGCCACTCAGACATTGTATGGTATTTCGCTTCGAAGCACGTATCGGTGCCCACGTCTCGGATGACTGATGGGAATGGGCCGACAGTGGATCGGATCGAGCAATGAATGACTCAGCAATTTCACATTGCAAAGAAAGCCACGGCTTACTGGCTCATTGCAGTGTCAAAGCTATAAAAATGACGCTGCGTTTTTGGATTCGGAGCATTATTCGTCCAAACCTAACCAATGCTAAGCGTGTCATAGTTTAGCGTGGAACGTGATTGGACCTGGCGGCCCGTGGCTTTGGCCTTTAGTCCATCGTAGGATGAGACGAAGTATATTGGACATTTTTAGATCAACTGATGTTTTTATATGCCATTGTCGAGTGTCTCGTATAAACAAATCCACACTCAGTTTTGGCCAGAAAAAAAAAAAAAAGGAAAAGTCATAAGGCATGAAGAGGTGAACAGTTGCATTAACGCCCACTGATGGAGGGGGCACGTTTGAAAGTGAATAACTAAAACGATAAAATTAAAATTTTAAAACTTTTTTAGAAAAAAAGAAACCATGGGTAGAGCGCGGTTGTAATATATAGTAATAATATTTATTTAAATAATATTTACTTTTCTAAACATTGCCAAATGTGCCTGCTCGAACGACAAATGTCAAAATTTGGAGGCACGTATTTCTTACAGTGTTGGACAAAATACTGGATGAAAGTATTTCAAATTCAAATTTGTTTATTTTGCCACAAACAGTACATTTGTGACGGGGGAGCTGGAAAAAAAAGCTGCAGGCCTGCAGCTAGACGAGTCCCTGCGCCCCAGAACAATTAAGGTAAGAGCGCACTGGCCCATACAGACAAAAAAGAACGAATTTGCGCACATTTGCGGACACCTATACAGAGGATAAACACAAGAAAAACATAAAGAATTCAACTTCGCAATCAACAGTATACAAAAAAAATGGTGGTTACTTATTGCCGCGCGCAGGGGTCACGGACTTCTAGAACTTTCTCGTTTATTCTTGCTCCGGACATGGCCTCTATCGTTTATCCCCGCTTGTGTTGTTCTAGAAAGTGCGTGTTCATTCTCGCCCCGAGCGCGCTACGTTCGAACCTTCTCCGCCGAATCTTCGAGATAGTGACTTACTCTAGATAAGACGCCGCTCGCGATCTTGTCGAGTGAGTCTCGCCCCAGCGCTCGATCCTGCGGTTTCGACGACTTCGACGCCCGCGACGCTCTGTTATTATCTTTTGTACTCTTTTATTTTTGGCACAAGTTCGCCACATTAAACGTTTATTTCTTCCTGTTTATTTTTTGTTTATTGGTCACCACCCGTGGCAATATTGGTGGAGGTGCGGGGTATAAAGCTTCTTGAATGGAACAATGACTAACAGAGTGCATTTCAATATCACGGGAAAACAGGGTGTTTAATAAAAGTGGTAATATGGTGGCGATATCTTTCTAAACCAAAATTTGTCCTTGAAAAGAGAATACGCCAGGCGGGGCCTATGTCGCGATGTGTATACAGACTCGTTTGCTTCTAGATTACCAAGATCTAAAGAAATGGCATTATTTTCCCTTATGGATCGTTGATAATTAGCTATAGACGCTTTGCAGCAGCTGTCAATGGGCGCCGCCATAACTGACCTTCAGTTTTTGTTTGCCCTGATTACGTTTACTTCACTTCATTATTACCATAGCAGGCTAGGTCATTGCCATCCTAGATTTTATTCTGTCTTTCTCCCCAGCATTGGTCTTTGTGGAGGCTCGTCCACACCAATTTCAGTGGCTTGGTATCAGGGTAAAACAAGAGAAGGTCAGCAATGGCGGCTGTATTCTGGCGCGTGTGTAAAGCGTCTATAGTCGGTTGCAAGCTAAGAAAAAACCGGAAATGCCTCTCAGAGGAAAATGCAATCCTACGCCGAGAAACGCCAGCCAATCGTTTTCATGACGTCACGATTCCGTGGACCAATCGCGATCCTTTTGAAAAAAAAAAAAAATCTCAACATGGCTGCTGGCCTTAGCAACGCGACGCTAGTTTCTCGTGACAATTATTCTGCTTTTTTGCACCGTGTTTTACGTGCCCGAGGTTACGCCACGAAATCTTAATGGTATCGGCTTCCGTTTGCAGCAGTTTTTGCGCGACAACGTGAGAATCCAGCGACGCTATCGCCAACGAAAATTTCGAAGCGGGCGCGAGGCTTAGCACTGCTGAGAGGTATGTTAGACGGTATGTTAGACAGTATCTTGGACAGAAAATGAATTAGGAAGACGGTACATTGGACATAACTCTTTCTTTACTAAACAGCTATTTCGTTGACAAAAACGTATTCTAACTTATTTAAATGTCCTGAATGAATTAAATAAATATTGTAGTAGTTTAAGACACGTTTCCTGGAGGAAGAAAAAGCAACGTTGCTAGCGAACTACTTTCTCGACGGCGGAGGCCCTTCAGATGGGCGAAATGCGCTTGTGGGTGGAGCTAAAAGATTGTTCTCAGGTTGCATCCGACTATAGCAGTCTATGTGCATACAAATTGGTTATATCAATGACTTTATGTTTTTCAAAAAGAGGAAGGGGAATGATAGTCACGTGGAACATTTTAGATTATCCTGAGTGCCTTTTTCTGTATGGATGGATGGATTGATGTTACTGGCTGTACCCTTTGTATCGGGTGGTAGCTTGCGCCACCTAGCCTAAGTCTAAGAAAGACAAACATTTGATTTGATTTCTCGCGCCCTTCTAAGCCAATTTTCTACCCCTTAACTATCACCAGGTAGTGTGGGATATCACCAGCATGACCTTCGGGGGATCGGACAAAAAAACTAAAAACATCAGCCCCTGCCTCTTCCCCCCGCCGAGGGAGTCGCCAATTTTCCTCTGGTCAAACCTTTTCGGCGTTACCCCCGCACCGGACCCACTGGGAGATAGGCGTAGTTTGTCAATGTTGCCCATTGTAGTCGAACCCCATACCAGGTGGAAGTAGCAGGGCACAGGGTAAAACAACGCATTTTAAATTATTTTTTTTAACATTTACCGGAAGTATGTGCCTGAATTTATTCATTATTCCGACAACTTTGCATAGTTTTTTTATGAATATAGGTAACATGATTATTCCAGGACATGCGACAAGAACATAATTCCCCCAACGTCTTAATACCATCAACGCACTCTATCGCACAATCCCCCCAAAACAAATCGCTTGACAACCTAATAAGCGGTCCTGGGCACTGAAATAAAACTGCCTTTGTTTTTGATGTGTTAATAACAAGGGAATTCATAACTACCCATGATTTTAATTTATTTAAAAAATAAAAATAAAATAAAAAATAATTCAGAAAAATAATATGCTAGCGTCATCCGCGTATATAATCAATTTAGCCAGACGTTTCAATATTTACAATATCATTAACATAAGTGATAAACAATAGTGGGCCTAAAATACTTCCCTGAGGGACCCCGAAACTAGTGCGCTGAATAGAAGATCTGTTATTATTAATTTGAAGGTATTGGGAACGGTACTGTAAATAGGATGAAATGAGTGCTAATAGGAACTCCTCGAATACCATAACAATCTAATTTATCAAGAAGAGTTCTGTGATTTATCCGGTCAAATGCTTTACTGAAATCTACAAAGATCTCCAACGTTAAAAGTTTACCCTCGAAATTTTCTAATATTGTCTCTTTTTGTACTAGTAAAGCAGTTTCTGTAGACCTACGCCTTCTGAAGCCGATTTGCGAGTCCGTCAACACAGAATATTTTTCAAAAAAGGTTAATAGTCGAGAATATATTATCTTTTCTATTGGTTTTGAAATTACGGGAAGAATAGATATGGGGGGGGGGGGGGGTAATTACCCAGGCAGCACACCAATGTTGGACCTGCATTGGGCCAACAATGGCGAACGCTGGCTCCGGAGGTTGGTCCAATTCTTTATTTTTAGATTGGCTACGCAAAAGAGAATGCAGTTGCTTCCAGACAATATCGGGCTGCCTTAAACAAGATGAGTCAAACTTAGCCGCGTAATAAAGCTGTTTAGCTTGTCTTAATTGAGCGTTAACAAAGTTTCTGAACTTTTTGAATTCGCGTAATTTTTCTTCGTCTCGTGTTTTCACAAAATAGTCATAAAGTACGTTTTTCTTTTTAATGACTTTCAAAAGGTGACCATTTACCCACGGCTTCCTAGCTTTTTTTGTTTGGACGGATGCATTGGATTGGGAATGAAGTGGAGTAAGCATTTTTGAAAGTATTTATAAAAAAAATCATAGCACTCATCAGCATCTGTAGAATTAAACATAGGGCTCCAGTCTATAGTGCTGATTGTTTCTCTAAATTCTTCCAGTGTCCTAGAACTTATGTCTTGTGACATTGTTGAAAAGTTTGGAACTGCGCTATCTGACATATTGTCACGGATGACAAGTGATGATGAGGCGACGAAAACTGAAGTAAACTAAACGTTTAATGGGGGCCAACTTGTGCCCAAATTAATAAAAGGAAAAGGAAACAGAAGAAAGCAGGAGAGCGTCGCGGGCGTCCATGTCGGCGAAACCGCAGGATCGAGCGCTGGGGCGAGTCTGACTCGACAAGGTCGCGGGCGGCCTCTTATCTAAGGTGAGTCACTATCTCGAAGATTCGGCGGAGAAGGTTCGAACGTAGGGCGCTCGGGGCGAGAATGAACACGCAAGCGTGTTCATTCGCGCCCAAGGCATAGAGTAATCTACTCAAGGTAAAGAGCGGACACTCCCATAGGCCCCAGCGGCCCATTTAGCTGGCAGGGAGCGCACCCAGCGGCCGTCGTAGTCCCCAACTGAATGAATGGAGTCACAATAAAAATACTTACCGGATGGATAGATATATAGTTTGGCGTAGTGTATTGGGCGGTAGCCTGCGCCATCTGGTTTGCCGCGAGTTATGTTTTTCCTACTATTCCCGCATGGTAAATTTCAGCTGTAATTACTTCACACGTATGTACGATTCCTAATGCGGACAACTAATGGACAATACTATATACAGTTAACACTGACTTTACAAGCCAGGAAACCCATGTAGGTTTGTGCTGTCCAGAAGAACACCACCAGGGAGTAATCAACACAGTTTATTTTCGCAACAAAAATATGGTGGGCAGTTTGTGCCTCGTATATAATTACCAAAACTACAAAACATAAGCACCGTGCATCAAGGATTCACAAACAATACATCCTACAAAAAAATGACAAGCATATTATGGCATGCATGAAAATCTTATCAAACAACTGGAATTACAATGTTACAACTGCAATTGGATTGCAAGCCTGTTTTGTGTTCTCAAGCATGTTCCATGGAAGGTGCACCACACACATAACATATGCAGCATCAGCAACACATACTAAAAAAAAAACTGGCCATGCAGTATCAAAGCTCGTTGATCCAATGCAATTTGTATGCAAATAAAACGCTCAGCAGAAGAAATCTGAAATGCACGATGACCACAATGAGAAAAACAGACAAGTAAATGCCTAAACAAGATTGCCACTAGTGTAGACCTTCTTAGTCTGTAACATAGTCATTAAATAACCCTAACACAGCCTGAACTACAGAATTAAAAATACCTTGCTCCTGCTGATTTAAGTAACAATAATGACCAAAATAACAAGAACTGAAAGCCAACCGACGGTCTAATACAGGTTTTACGTTCATGTCACGTTTAACATGTCACATTTAACATGTAAGGTTTGCCATGACCACTACCATAACAAGCGCACATGAAATGGCTGACAAAAGACTGCTAAATCAGACTGGTGCCCGGTGTACCTGCGACCCACTCATCACAAATGATTCCACCAAGGCTTGGCATGCAATCTGCACTGCTTAATTAGGTACATCTTACAAAGTGTCTACCCAATGACTTTTCCAAAGTCCATGATTTTTCCAGGTTTCCCTTGACTATTTTGATAAAATTTCCTGGCTGTTCCTTCCTTCGAAGGATGACATTTCGGGCAATGTTATTCAGCAGAACCGTGACGACACCTGATCGCCGGGCTTCGTTCCGCACCACCGTGCCACTTTTACTCGTCACTTTCCCTGATTTAGCCAACCTTTTGACAGTTTCCCTGATAATTTCCTGACTTTTCCAGGTGATCCAAAATTCCCTGAGCATTTCAGGCTTGCCAGGTTGGTGGACACCCCTGATCTCAATCTCCTTCACGCTCCACATATGTGTAAAGCAGAAACAGTGTCCAAAAGAAAAGAAAGTTGCATCCGAGATGAGTGACCCCGTATGGAAATCTTATATCTGGGCCATATCTGGCCATATCACACATTATATGATTATATACGGCGTATATACAGACTTATCTGGCATATATACAGACTTATCTGGCGTATATGCAGCCTGATATGGCGTATATACAGACATATCAGGCTTATATACAGACTTATCTGGCATATATACAGCCTGATATGGCGTATATACAGATTTATCGGGCGTATATAAAGACTTATCTGGTGGCCGGTTTTCAATATATTAAAAAGTAAAAAAAAGTTAAAAAAAATTCTTTGTAATCAAACTCTGAATGACTCATTGTTCGCGAGCCAAATATTAGCACAAATAATCTCGAACTTCAGCTTTGACAAGCTTAAGATTGAGATTATTTGTGCTGTTTTTCACGAGCATTTCAATGTAGCTTAATTATTTCAAAGTGGTAACATCACGCTCGAATAGACAAGTTGCTAAATCCCCCAAGCGCCTCTGCACGTACTCGAGGAAGAATGGGGACAGTGTTTCATCAGTTGCCTAGTGATCGAAAATTTCGACCTATTCTATGGTTACACAGATTGGAGTGTAATTCAGAGTCACCCTGAACACGTGCTGTGCTGAACCCAAATATTTGCCATACTACTTTTAAAATGTCTCGCCAATGTCAGTGCTGTGCATTCAGTCCAACCTTCAACCTGGATGAGCTGCAGACATATCTCTTACATTACTATCATTCTCGTACAGCTTCAAAGACGCTGATTTTAAGTTAGAAACGCTAAAAATCTCATAAACAGCTCCCGTAAATTCGAGCTAAATCCCGGTTTTGGTTGTTGTGATTTCTCGTCGTTTAAGTAATTCCTGCTAAAACAACAATCACGAGAATGATAATATGGTAAGAGATTTCGGCTGCTCAACTTGGTTGTAGGTTGGACAGAATGCACAGTATCATAAACGCTGCCATTGACGAGAAAACTTAAAAGTGATATGACAGGTACTTGAGCCCTATGAGACGCTTGTTCAGGGTGACTATGAATTACACTCGAAACTGTGTAATCATGGAATTGGTCAAAACCATAACTCCTCGAGTGCGGGTCGGGGCAGTTGGGAGAATCGTAGACAATGAAAAGATATAAAGTGCTGATTTCAGGCTTGTGTTTTTTTTTTAAATGCCTGTCCAGATCTGGGATTTCCATACCTAGCCAGGGATATCAGGCTATATCTGGCGTTATGAGGCTATATCTGACAGATATACTATATCTGACAGATATACTATATCAGGTTATATGTGGCCAATTTTTGATATGGCCATATCTGAAATCTTCAGATCTGGCCAGATATAAATTTTTTGTAAGAGAGTATTAACAAAGATCAATATGGGAACTTACACATTCCACATGACCACAATAGGAAAAAACAGACATGACCATCTAAAAAAGCAGTCATTACAAAAGACCAGTAGAGTGCAACCTACTGACTGCAAATAATCCCAACAAATGGCTAGTGTGCAGTCTGCACGGCCCAATAAAATCCCAATAAAATTAATTTTACTGTTGCAGATATCTTATGAGATGCAACATAAAGGCTGAAACATCATCTTCTACCCACTGAACTTTTCAAGCTGTACACCAGAGACGCGAGAATGGAAGCGAACTTTATCCAAGTTTCTATTTACAAAACGGACATGCCAGCACAATCGAATTCGGCAAAACATTTTTAAAAACCGTGCACGACACTCTGGAGTGCAAAAATTAAAATCACCAACACGCGAGAGAGTTATGTACAATGTTTCACAAACACTTCGGAGGTGCGCTACACTTTCGATAACAGAAAGAAAGATTGACTCGAGTTGCTGAACAAGTGTGAAAGCTGCGCTTGATGGCACAGTCAAGTTGCCGAAGAGCTTGCCTGGGACGTGGTACGCTTTCAGCATCATAAAAAACTGATGTGGCTCATCAAGGTTACTGTGCTCATCTCTAAGCAAGTCAGGACAACAACAACCTTCTGCAGCCTTCTCAGTAAACATTTTAACAATGAAGCCAGCAACATAATAAGTAGCAGAGTTGTCAATAACATGGGACTCCTCATGGGCTGCCAACTCAGTGATGTTTTCCAAAGATGGAAAGTCGTCCTGTGGGACATGCTGCACAACATCCACGAGTGACTCGCTACTAAGTGAAAATGGGGACAACTCCTGGAGGAGGTCCTTCTCATCCTCCTCGACATTTCCCTTCGGTGACAGTGTGAGGAGCTTCTGAATCCCAATGTGTTTCAGGCCAGATATGAACTGAGGCACATTGGGATTCGAGTTGCATCCCTGCTTTTGTCTTATGTGTCCAAACATCTGTTCAAGTGGGTCTTGTTGAAGTCGACGCGTGAGGAGAAACTCAAGGTCGTAATTCTGGGAAACATCTTCCCACAGCAGCAAGACGGCTTTGATCGTAATTTGCCACCCGATGATAGTGTGTGGCTGACGTTTGCCTTCGAACTTCCAAGACGCAATCCATGGAAGCTGTTTTCCGAGAAATTCAACTAAATCCGGCTGCCCTTTTCGAATAGCATGGCGCAACTTTTGCTCCGTTTTCTTTGGACTGGAGCTATTCAAGCAATCAAACAGCTTGTCCATGCGGTCACAAAAATAAGCAGTTGACATGGCTGCTTCAGGCAGCTGTTTCGCATAGACAAGAGCTAAAAGCGCGACGCACACTGAAGCACTCAATACCTGGGTCGCCCGCTTAACCTTCATATTACTGAAAGGTTTCTGGTAGATATGTCTTTCAGTCAACTTTGGCGCCAACCGCAGTCGCATCTCATGTGTGGAGTGGTACAGTTTCACAATATCTGCCCAGTCTACAATCTCATTTTCGATATGAAGCCTGTGGGCCTGCAGGTTGTTCCGAGTTGTTTTCACGAAATGGGGAACGTCGTAAATGAAGTAAACGCGTTCACGTTTTACGAAAAAAAAAGGGCTGCGCCACAGAGACACCAAGCTGGTTTGCTAAGCTTACATTGGAAGCCCCTTGGTCACAAATTACAGCTTTAACTGTAATTCCAATGTCTTGCAACTGCTCAGTGAGCGAGATCAACAAGTTCCGGATTACGGTAGATGGCGTAGACGTGTGCCCAATTGTATAAGCGACTGGTTGAACCCATCTCCGGGAAACTCCGGAAAGAAGGATAACCAGGGCTCTGTCGGCAATCGTTGAGGTTCGTTCGTAGCCATCATCCGTAAATCCATGAACAACATCTTGTGACACGTCATATGACAAGTTTTTTTTTTAACACTATCTCATCGAAGATGAGAGTGCAGGCGCAATCGCGCTTACTCCATGATTGTGTTTTTGTAAAAATGGATGACATAATGCCTGGTATAATTCCAGGTGTCATTTTGACATCCGACAGCCATCTTCTTAGTGTGCGCTGAGTAGGAAGAGTGAGATAACGAGACAAAAAACGGTATGCCCGCGGCCCACGGAAGTTGAGATGAAGAGAAAACTTTTTCAACCATAACGGGAATCGTTTTCCCTTGCCCTTGGATTTCAATTTAACATGGCTTGACAGTAGGTGAAATACCTCGTCTGTCACGTGAGGGCGAATGATGTTGAGAGCTTCCGCAGCCGATCGAGGCATATTCTTCTCTTGCTTGCGCAGCCTTGCGATGGTCTTCCGGTACTTTGAAACCTTGGCCTGGAGACGCCTTATGATGTCCTTAGGTCTCGGCGCAGAACTGCGCAGAGGAGGCGTAGAAGTACCTGAAACGGGTAAAAAATAAAAATAACGAAATCAGAGCAGGTAAGCAGTTCTCCTTATAACCAGCATAGCCAACATTACCTTACAGTGACATAATCTGCAAGTAGATAATATGCCCCTAAACTACAGACAATTAGAAATCGTGGGAAACTGGGCTTTTGAAGCTATGTTTGCTAAATTTACATATTTCCACTGTATGCCTTGACAATACAGTACGTAAGGTATATTACAGGTTTTGCATGAAAAGCCCATCACCGGAAAAGTAGACAAACTAATACCCACCTTAACATGCATGAATTTTAGTTATATGAGTAGTAGCATATGGGCACAGGTGAACAAAAGAAATGGGACACTTACAAGCTCCAACTGGTTCAGAGGAGGACCATGTGGACGGTGTCACCGGTCGGAAATCCAAGGGCGAGCTGCATGATGGGGCTGTAGCCTCCGTGGAGTCCGCGCCGCACGGTGAGGCTGTCGCTTCCATGGAGTCTGGAAAAATGTGTCTATTAGACCCAGGCTGTTGTTTCCAACACAAGTCCTTCCTCACCATGGGCAGCGGTTGAAGGTTCTTCGGGCCGGAAGCTGGAGGCTGTAGCCTCCATGGGGTCTGCGCCGCACGGTGGGGTTGTCGGTCCCATGGAGTCTGGAAATATTTGCCTATTAGACGCAGGCTGTTGTTTCCAACACAAGTCCTTCCTCACCATGGGCAGCGGTTGAGGGTTCTTCGGGCCGGAAGCTGCAGGCTGCACCGCATGATGGGGCTGAAGCCTCCATGGGGTCTACGCTGCACGCTGGGGGTGTCACTTCCACGGAGTCTGGAAAAATTTGTCTATTAGACCCAGGCTGTTGTTTCCAACACAAGTCCTTCCTCACCATGGGCAGCGGTTGAAGGTTCTTCGGGCCGGAAGCTGGAGGCTGTAGCCTCCATGGGGTCTGCGCCGCACGGTGGGGTTGTCGGTCCCATGGAGTCTGGAAATATTTGCCTATTAGACGCAGGCTGTTGTTTCCAACACAAGTCCTTCCTCACCATGGGCAGCGGTTGAGGGTTCTTCGGGCCGGAAGCTGCAGGCTGCACCGCATGATGGGGCTGAAGCCTCCATGGGGTCTACGCTGCACGCTGGGGGTGTCACTTCCACGGAGTCTGGAAAAATTTGTCTATTAGACCCATGCTGTTGTTTCCAACACAAGTCCTTCCTCACCATGGGCAGCGGTTGAAGGTTCTTCGGGCCGGAAGCTGGAGGCTGTAGCCTCCATGGGGTTTGCGCCGCACGGTGGGGTTGTCGGTCCCATGGAGTCTGGAAATATTTGCCTATTAGACGCAGGCTGTTGTTTCCAACACAAGTCCTTCCTCACCATGGGCAGCGGTTGAGGGTTCTTCGGGCCGGAAGCTGGAGGCTGCACCGCATGATGGGGCTGAAGCCTCTATGGGGTCTACGCCGCACGGTGGGGGTGTCGCTTCCATGGAGTCTGGAAAAATTTGTCTATTAGACCCAGGCTGTTGTTTCCAACACAAGTCCTTCCTCACCATGGGCAGCGGTTGAGGGTTCTTTGGGCCGGAAGCTGGAGGCTGCACCGCATGATGGGGCTGAAGCCTCTATGGGGTCTACGCCGCACGGTGGGGGTGTCACTTCCATGGAGTCTGGAAATATTTGCCTATTAGACGCAGGCTGTTGTTTCCAACACAAGTCCTTCCTCACCATGGGCAGCGGTTGAGGGTTCTTTGGGCCGGAAGCTGGAGGCTGCACCGCATGATGGGGCTGAAGCCTCTATGGGGTCTACGCCGCACGGTGGGGGTGTCGCTTCCATGGAGTCTGGAAAAATTTGTCTATTAGACCCAGGCTGTTGTTTCCAACACAAGTCCTTCCTCACCATGGGCAGCGGTTGAGGGTTCTTCGGGCTGGAAGCTGGAGGCTGTAGCCTCCATGGGGTCTGCGCCGCACGGTGGGGTTGTCGCTTCCATAAAGTCTGGAAGAGTTTCGTCTATTAGAAGTTAGGTTGTGAAGCCGTAGAAGCAATATTGTGTTTAAATAAAGTTTTACACAAGTAATATACTTTTCGTATATGGATAGTTAAATAAATCTTTACCTTTAGCTCTCTCAGCATCTGAATATGTCGATGGGCGAACTGAAGGCACAGCGGTTTTCATTAGCTTTGTTCGCCCAGGGTCCATGAAGTCACGCGCTGTGAAGGGACTGCTGCAGACGAAATACTTCGCATGCAGCTCACTGGACGATTTTCGCAGAAGGTCGTCTCTTTTGGCACACCTCAGCCATGCCTTTGACCTGAAAGATGTAGTGAACTTCATTATTCTTTATTTTTGTTAAAAATAAAATATTTGACCATAAAGGCCCGTTCACACTCTTGCAACCGAGTACGACCGAGAGAAACTTCTTAGGACCAGGCGCGCTGCTGCGGAGCTGGTCCTAAGAAGTCGTAAGAGGATTAAAAACCGGTCTTGTCTCTCTCGGTCGTACTCGGTTGCAAGAGTGTGAACGGCGCTTAATGGTTTAGATATTGTGGTTTCACATGGAGGTGATAAGCAAACTAATAGTGCTTCAGAAGGTTGTAGTTATTTATTGACTGCACACATACACAATTTTGCTGACTGGTTAAAAGGTGCGCAATGCTATAAAAAGAAGTGCAACTTTTTTGGGAGTTTGGTAGTTTTATACCAGTGCTGACAATGGGCATCAGCTAGTTTTAGTGCCTTGCTCATTTATAGAAACATTAAAAAACTTAATCTCAATAAAAAACAAATAAAAAAAAACGAGTTGTGCTTTCCTTGCATGTCATGTTAATTCAGCACGTAGCAACGAATTTGTAATGCAGTCTGCCTTGCAGAGCTGGGAAGCTAGTCCACCACAATCCGGTTATCATGGAACGGAATGTTTTAAAACTAAATTTAGTACTAACAGAAGTAAAGTTTTGATTAAGTAAGTTTTGATTAAACATTCAGCTTTCTCTCCGGTTTTCATTAGAACTATGCGTCCAGTACGTTGTTAAAGGGACACTGACAGGGTATTTATGCTCGCCGAGGATTTTAGTTGTACGTGACATATGAGAGCTCAACTACCCAGAACAGAATTTGCGGCTCGAAATTCGGTTTCTTTCCGCCCGAAAACCGCCGATCAAGAACTGGCCGGTTCGAGTCTCGCTCACTCTCTTTTCCGCGGTCACGGGCCGTTTTCTAAGGTATCGATGCGACCACCAAATTTAATCGAAGGCGTGGGTCACTGAAGGCACACACTCAATATTAAAAATAGAAAAAAATATGAAACCCATTTTTTGTGGCTTCTAAAAAGCTGCAAATACGTTGATTGAAAAAAAAAAGTTCCACAGACAACCGGAAGCATTCTGTGCGTGCGTCGTTTCGCGTATCGTGGGACTCGCGGGGACGGCGATGGCAGGGGACGACGGGCGTGGGACCTCAATTTCAGAACTGTCGTTCGCGGTACCGGCGAATTTTGTCTGCCTTTAAAAGAGAAATTTGGGACTGATCAAAAGAACTGGTATTCATCCCGTACGACACGCCCGACCACCAAGCCGATTTGCACGAAGACGTCGCCGAGCCGTCGCTCCCTTCTGTGGCTGAAGACATCGCTCGCGCAAACGTCAAGCACGACGTGTCTATTTCGAGTTGAATATGCACGCGTACGATTTCTTTACTAGGTGAGAATGTCGCCAATGCGTGGTGCATTCCGACTTCGACCCGGGAGTGCTTTTGCTAGAGGAAAATCGGCAGCAAACTTTCTAACTTACAGTTTATCGGTTGAATTATTACTAAGGAAAGAGATCCCCCAATTCTGATATGCCCCAGTAGCTCAGTGGGAAAGACGTCCGCTTCACTCGCGGTAGGGCCGGGTTCGATCCCCCGCAAAACTTTTTTTTTTTTTTTTTGCTAATATTTTTTGATGTTTACATTTTTTTTTACAATTATTACTAAAGATACAAAAAAAAAAAAGACACAAATGTTGTGGACGACACGTCGCTGAATTAAATGGTATGGGATTTCCTTTTCGACACCTGCGAACTCAATGTAATCACTTTCCACAAAATGCAAGGAGCATATAAATCATGTTGCGTCCGCTTTCCGAGGTGCCCGTAAATGGTCTACAGGAATCGCAGCCAGCCATTGGTCCCGATCCCGTTGATCTTTCGGAAACTCTGTCGCACAATGCCACTTCTGTTTCGGACGCAGGACATGTGAGCCAGCTCTTCACGCAACATCTTGGGTGTATTCTTTTCGGAGCCGATCGCAATTCACCACGGGCACTCACTACTCATCTCCAACTCTTCAATGTACAAAACAACCCATCTTGGAGTACAGAACAACGAGCGGAACATACATAACTGCAAAAGAATCCTACGGCGAACAGTTCCCGTACGCCGCACGTCGTCTGCTACGGGCAGGAGAAAAAAAAAAAAAAAAAAAGAAAACGCACGGTCGGGTGTAGCCACGTGACTTCCGCCACTCACTCTCTTCTCTCCACTTCTCCGACCTCCGTCGGGTTTCGGTTTCGGTTTCGAGCAGTTGCGTCTTTTGGCTTTATTAAAAAAATACGCTACTCTGTTGCAAAATATTAATTGGGTAGTCCTCCGACACCATAATGAAGCGCCTGGCAAAAAATAAAAAAATTTTTTTGGGGGGTGTCAGTGTCCCTTTAAAACAAAGGACAACCTGTCGTCTCGTGGAACTCGGAAGAACTTTGTTCCTGGCTTCTTGCGCGTTCTCCCATTGTTTCCGCACCAGGCTACGCAACAGTAGCTGCCGTAGCCAAACATCATGGCGGCATCAGCTGGGAAACGAAAATAGCACAAGTCAATTTGAGATTACGCGAATTTGGTGCCTTCATTTCATAGCAATTCGGGAACCAAAATTGTTAAAGCGACAACAAAGAGTGGTGATAAAGAAAAGCCTTCACGGTATTGTCACCTTCCATTTCTTTGTATTTTCCTCGTGAGCGCGCTTTGCTTAGGATGGCCTCGCCCTAAGCAAAGCGCGCATGAAGGCTACCTGTACCCCCTGCGGTACCTACCCTGCTTCATACATGGCGCCAGGTACAACGCTGTCATAGCTGCTGGCGCAAAAGCCACGCGCTCGCGTTACCAGCATTGACAGCGATGCACATGAGGTATGAAATTGAGTATGCCTTGAGTGCCTTAACTGGCGCTCTCGCTGCACGAGCGCACTCGTCCACGTGCAACTGCCGAGGCTTCATCCAGAGCAGTTAGCTCGCGCTTTAGCCCGTGCATCCAACTATAGCCAAAAGCAAGCAAAATACGGTGTCAGTAAAACGACTCACCTTTCTAACAACGGAAGAATGCCGAGAAGCCCGCACGAGCCACTCAAGTGCAGCCCAACCGGTCGACCTTTCGAGCGACGTGACCGGAAAGCTACCGTCCGCCGAGCCGACGGCCCCAAAGCCATCCACTGAGCCGCAGCCAAAGCCGCAGCTGTCCAAATTGTTTTTAAAAGTATTTGGAACTGCTATTAATTTTGAAATGTTAGGTTATAGAGTGGAGTTATTTATCAAGGGTGAAAATATGATAAATGTCTAAATTAGGTGTGTGACTGCAGTGCCACTGAACGGTCGTCGTAGTCCCTAGCTCGTGGGCCGCGAATCGGCTCGAGTGTCCCCTCTTTTCGTTTACTGTGTTACTCTATGCCCAAGGTACCCTTGTTGTCGTGGGGTTGGCCTACGCGTAGATGGGAGAGAGTGCATATAGACTATCCGTATCGCGATCAGCAATGGTTTCTTGTGCTGGTGGACGCCCATTCTAAATGGATTGAAGTGTTTGTGATGAGCAGTACTAGTAGTGAGAAGACCGTGGAAAAACTGCGCAGTGTGTTTGCGGCATACGGGCTACCGAAAGAGGTGGTGACCGATAATGGGCCTCAATTCACATCAGCAGATTTCGAACTCTTTTTG